CATGATTTAACTGCTCACCACCAATTAAGGGTGTAAAAATGGCCCGAGGCCCATGGGCGGCCTGAAACTCGAGGTGGGCCCAGCCCATTTCTACCCGATTAAGCTCGGGCCCGAGCCCAGCCCAACCCAACCCAGTACCTTGGGCCCGGGCCTTCCATTTGGGGCCCGGCCTGGCCCAGCCCAGCCCCCCTACCTACGATTACAGTACCAGCCTAGCCTCAATTTTGAGCCGTTGCATTGCAAATTCGCATCTCCTACAACTCAAACAGATATATATAAAATGGTCATAATTCAAATGGTTAGAATTCAAACTATTATAAATATATTTTAGTTTTCAAAATAAATTTCACAACAAATCATTCTCTCTCTCTTAAACTCTCTCAATCTCTCTCAACTCTCAATTAATTTTGAAGTGTCATCCCTAAGTGGCTATTGCAATTGTGCAACAAGAAACTTTTAGCAGAAGAAGAAAATTTCTATATCGCATTCGCCAGTCGGTAACATTAATTAGTTTAATTAAATTTATTAACTACTCACTTTTTTCATTAATTATTTATGCACATATATTAATTATTACTTTTAACTGATTGAATTTACACATTATTTAAATTAATTGTTAATTCTTATATATTGTTTTATTTGCATTACTATGGATCCTAATATGCCTAATATTTATGTCGATGTTGATACATATACTACGCCACATGAATCTGTTGATTCTCCTTCTAATATCCCTCTTCCAACAGTTGGATCATCATCTAGGAGCAAAAGTAGTAGTGTTTGGGAACATTTTGAAAAAATATCTATAAATAATCCTGATGGCACAATTACATTGAAAGCAAAATGTAAATATTGTGCACGTTTACTTAGTGCTGTATCTGCAGGGGGTACTAGTCATTTAAAAAGGCATTCTGACAAACATTTACAAAGTAAACAACCTGATATTCGAAGTCAAATGCAATAAGGGGCGTCATCAACTAGTAATTTGCAAACATTTTCATATGATCTTATATGTGCACAAAATTCTGTAGTTGATTATATTATTTAAAAAGAACAACCTTTTAGTACTAGTGAATGTCCTAATTTTACCGAAATGATTCACGAAATTTTTGCACTGCAATATCAAAGTTTTTCAAGAAATACTATTAGAAACAAAATTTTAAGGAAATTTGAGGATATTAAAAGTGAATTATTTGATATCTTTAAAAATTTGAATGGAAGAGTTTGTTTAACATCTGATCCGTGATCAAATAATGGTTTTGAATATCAATGTATCACTAAACATTTTATTGATAATGATTGGAAATTAAATAAAAAAATTATTTCATTTAAATTAGTTGAACTTCCATACACTAGTCATTCGCTTGGTGTAGAAATAAGAAATGTATTATATGAGTAGGCTTTACAAAATAAAATATTTACGATTAGTTTAGATAATGCATCATATTATAATCAAATTGTAGCCCATTTAAAATCAACTTTACAATTACTTGTTGATGGTGATTTATTTCATGTTCGTTGTTGTGTCTATATTTTAAATTTGATTGTTAAAGAAGCTATGCATGTACACGAAACTTCTGTACTTGTAATTAAAAATGTAGTTGTTACTATTATGTCTTCTAGTAATCGAATTTCAAAATATAGAAAAATTTGTCAACGAGAAAATATGTCATTTAAAAAATTAATTTTAAATGTAGATAGTAGGTAGATTTCAACATATAATATGTTAAAATAGCTTGCAAACAAAGAAGAGTAATAGATTTATTTTTTGCAACAACATCAATAGGAGGAGTACTGACACCCACTGAACTTAATTGGCGCCAAGTAGCCTTGTATAAAGATTTTTTTAAAAGTTTTTGATACTTCAACAAAATTATTTTCTTATAGATATATATTTTTACTTCACCATTTGTTTTACCTATGCTAGCAAAAATAATTAAAATTTTCATAAAATATATGGGTAATGAACTTTATGTAACCATTATTACTTCAATGAAAGAAAAATTTGATAAATATTTTCATCATTTGCCTCATCTATTTGGTTTAGCTATAATAATTGATCCTAGGTGTAAAGAAGTTGGTTTACAAGAATTTTTAGAGCGTATTTTCGCTGATCAAATACAGTTTGCCCCTATTATGCAAACATGCAATAGATTATTTCAAGAATACAGGGCAGCTATAGCTGCATCTGCATCTGTAAATACACCTGCACACACTACACTAGTAGTCCAATCTCGAGGCGGGAGATTAAGTATTTTCACAGCAATAAAAAGTAGAAGAATATCTCAACATACAAGTGTAAGTAATTCTGAACTACAACGTTATTTGGAAAGCCCGTTAGTGGATGATTCCAATAATTTTGACATTTTGGAATGGTGAAAACAAAATGAATCTATGTGGCCTGTGCTTTCACAGATGACCCGTGATATACGAATCGTTCCTATTTCTACAGTTGCTTTGGAAACAGCTTTTAGTGCAGGTGGACGGGTGCTAAGTGACTACAGAAGCATGCTTTCACCCGAAATAGTTGAGGCACTGATGATATCCAGAGATCATATGCATGCGCTTACAAGAAAACAAAATTTTAGTAAAAATAAGCGAATTCAATATGATTTGGATGACATATCATCGGGCAACGCGACTGAAATGTCTGTCTCCTCCGATAATTGATCAACAATTTATTTTTTACTATTTCATTTCATTTCGTTTTTTTCTTGGTTTTTGTTTTTGTTTTTGTTTTATTTTTTTTTATATTAGATTATTGAGGTGGAGTATAATGCAAATGATTGGTAGGCTAGTTGGTGTCAACCTAGTTGGGATGTACTTGACCTATAGTGATGCAATTGTTATACCATCATCAGTAATCTACACCTAATTTATTTAATAATATCAATTTTTATAATATTTTATTTCATTTTAAAATAAAAATTATTCATTCAATAAATGTTATATAAATAATTTAATATTGTAATATTGAAAGTTTCAATTTCATATATATAAAATTATTCATTTCGAAAGAAAAAAAATTACACAATTACATACTTTTTTAGTTATAAGTTCACAATTAAAAAAATATAAGTCATATATTATTAAACTTAAATATCATCATAAAATATTACATAACCAAACAAAATATCTCGTTAATCGTAATTAAAATACTCTAGTATGATTTTTTTTTAATTTTTTATTTCTAATATTAAAAAAAAAAAACCCGACTAGGCCCGGCTAGCGGGCCAAGGCCTGAGCCCAGACCTTAGGCCCTATTATGAGTGGGCTTGGGTTTGGACCTGGGCCCCACATATTGGCCCATGGTCCCGCCTGACCCGCTAAAAAAACGTGAACCCACAAAGCCCGAATGGGCCGGGCCCAGATTTTATTACACCCTTACCACCGATGTGCCATGCTGTGTTAATTGTATTCAAATCACGGACTCAAGCCGATGCATACTATAAATTGTGCCATAAAAAACGGCACATTGTATACTAACATATTACTTCATAATTTTATATTTAAATGAATACTTTATTAAGTACTTTATATTTAATATAATACTTTATTAAGTACTTTTTTCATTTCTTTGTTTTTTTAAATTGGAGAACATATTAATTAAAATAAATGTATGTGAATAGTGTTGACGGGTGTTGATAGCAACATGTGTCCCGATTTCCTTGAAACTCTTAGAAAAAAAAATATCGACACATATTTTAATTATATTTTGTTTGAATAGTGAGATGAGATGAGAAAAAGAAATTATGGTGGTTGCTCACTTAAGTGGGAAAAGAAAATAAATTATTATGGTTTGTCATTGTTATGCTTGGTTTGGATGAATCAAAGAGGAGAGAATGTAATTTTTGATGTATTTTATTTAGATAGAGTAAATAAGATAAAAGAAAGGAAAGTTTTGTATTTTATTTTACCAAAATAATCTTCTATATTAATAAGCTATGTTTGTTTTATAACGATAAGTTTGATATTTTAGAAAATTTTCGTTAAACTCATTTCGTTTCTTACCAAATCTCATCACTTTTAATGAGAAACAAAACATAGATTTGGTGAGAGTCATTTTCTCACAATCTCTCATCATTTCTCATCTATTTAACCATCCAAATAAGTGAAGGGGTTTCCTATTCTCATAATTTTTTTTTTCTTTTCTCACCAAACCCCTACATCCAAACAGTGTTAAGGGTAATGTGCTAGGTATATTTTTTAATTTTTTTTACCCCCTATTGTACTCCCTTCTCATCTCCTCACATGGGCACAATCTATGTTGTACGGACTGGAATATGAATATCGGATAACATAATAGTTTTTTTTATGATCCTTTCGTATAAAGTCAAAACACCCATCATTGTGATATATAATTACAAGAATGTCACTATCATATTATTCTTAATGTGTTTTATTTATGAATTTTCTATTTGTAAATCATTTTCCTTACTTTTATATGATATTTTCCATAAAACTAAACCTCTAGTGCTAATAATAATAATATGCTAACTAGAATAATCTGTATTTTTGAAGTACTTTTGATTGCACATGACACATTTTGAAGAACATTTTAGAGCCACAGCTTGTGCAATTCCAAGGATGCTTTATAGAACATTATGTACTTACAAATCAATTAAAGGAGAATAGTTCTGTACTGGAATAGCCAGCACAAGACACATTTTGAAGAACATTTTAGAGCCACAGCTTGTGCAATTCCAAGGATGCTTTATAGAATAAGCAAATCAATTAAAGAAGAATAGTTCTGTACTGGAATAGCCAGCTTTACTGATTCATTTGTACTTTCCAGTCAACAACAACCAATCACCCACCAAATGATTAGCCAACAACAACAACAAAAAAAGAAATATATGTAATATATATGCTCTTTATTTTTCAGTTACAATGATTCCAACAACTGAACTGAATGGCTTAATGGCAACAGCCTCTCTCTCTCTCTCTCTCTCTCTCTCTCTCTCTCATGCTAGAAATGAGCCTCTCAACACCCCAAAAAATTACTGTGATTATTCAAAGTTGTACTTGCCTAACAAACTTCACAACAAGATTCCTAGCCTCTCTCTCTCTCTCTCTCTCTCTCTCGATAAATGCTGCCCTTGTGAGATACAGTTTTATATTATTGAAGAACCCTCTCTCTCAGATTACCATCAATAACCACTAGTCGCAAAAGAACTCAAATTCATGAACTCTGCATTTGATGATCTATCCATGAATGAGGAAGAAGAAAACAGCAATGAGAGGATGGCTAGGAGGTTTCGCATTGACGAAGAGGTGCCTGTAGCATACAAATCCAAGAACCTTGTAGCTGAGAGGAAGCGGCGCCAGAAACTCAGCGATAGGCTACTTGAGCTCCGCGCTTTGGTCCCAATCATCACAAATGCAATAACCCAATTCCCATTTATCCCTAAACCCTCTCAAATTCACTTTTCATAGAAATTATAAGCTACATTGTGTTCATTATCTTCTAACTTGAGCAATTTTGCTTGATTTTAGATGAATAAAGCAACCATCATTATTGATGCAATCAGATACGTCGGGGAGCTACAAAAGTGTGTGGGAGATCTTAGCAACCAACTTCTTGAAATGGAGTCAGCTTCTGTAGAGGAAGCGAAAATGCAAATTGACACCATTAATGCTGCAGAGGAGATGAAGAAATGGGGGATAGAGGTTATATTTTGGACCGACATGTTCAATACTCTATTGAATTCTTAAAACTTGTTATTTATGAATTTTGTTCTTGTTTTTATAGCCGGAAGTCAAGGTGACTCAAATTGATGGATATAAGCTATGGATCAAACTAGTCTACGAGAAGAAAAGAGGTGGATTCACTAGACTTATGGAGACCATGAGTGTTCTTGGCTATGAATTCACCGATACAAGTGTCACTACCTCCAAAGGAGCATTTCTTATTACTGCTTGTTTAGAGGTAAGACCGATCCTTATATGTCCTTCAATAATGATGTGTGATTAGTTAACTTTCGAGCACTAACAAGTTTCTCATAAGTAACACGTCGTTTATATGATTTAGGGAAGCAATGGTGGTATGCTTGAAGCCGAGCAGATCAGTGAGTTGTTGTTAGAGATTACGAGAAGCCTGTAGAACAGAAAGAAGTGAGATTCGACATCAAATTAATTATTCCATTACGATTTTCAAAGGAAGCTTTTATTTGATTTCCCATTTATATCAGAGATTGCTTTTGCTAGTATTCAAGTTTTCATACGTTTAAATTGAACCGATAGTTGCAGATGTTTACATATATTATTTATACACAATTTTTAGTGTAATTTTTCGACCAAAATATGATGGGTGATACTTTCAAATGAACATTGACAATTAGCCTGGATATAAATTCATGTTTGTTCTCCCTAACATCTGATTGATGAAGAGGTTATGATTTCTAATAATTTTGGGATTTATGAAATTTACTTCACTTCGTTAGAATCCTTAAAGTTAAAGTGCAGCAAAATATCCAATCACTATTCTGTTAAAAAAATATTAAAAATAAATAAATCATTTTTATTTTTTTAAAAAAAATACTCGTGTAGCAAGAAGATTCAGATATTAAAAAAAAAATAAAAATAAATGAAACACTGACAAGTTTGTGATTAAACGAATAAGACGAAGACAGTTGTGTTCGTGTTCATTTGTCCTCTGATAAGAGTCTTTCCATCGCATATTTCCAGGAAAATACTAACGAGAATATTGAGAACTCTCCCTACTCAAAACCTACCCCAAGACCACCTTCCCTTGCTATGATTACCCAATAGATCTAAAAATCCAACCCATTACACAATGGAACTCTGTTTTCAAGAATCAATGTTCAAATGTCGATTCTTATATTCAAATAATACCAAACAAAGACCTACTCCAAAACTTTCTCCTCCTATAAAAGCAACCCCACACTCATATCCTATGAACTAATCAATTATTCCAAAAACCATCCTAAAATTCTCATGGCTAGGTTTCTCCTTATTTGCATTGTATTAGCCCAACTATCAGTCTTTATGGAAGGTTTGGACCTCGTGGCACCAATGGCTATGAACGGTCCTGATCATACACCAGTGTTGGGACCGAAGAATGTAATGGTTCGAAGTCCAGCTCCATCATCGGGAGGGGAGAGCTTGGGAACCGGTGATGTGAGGAATGTAACGGTTCCAAGTCCGGCTCCATCATCGGGAGGGGAGAGCTTGGGAACCGGTGATGTTTCTGGGAATAGGCGGGTGATGGGGCATCATTCATCGGATAAGTCTGAGGCCGGTGGAGAGGTGATCATTGGAGGATTCGCAACTGCCCTCGTTGCTGCCATTTTTTGCTACATTCGCGTCACAAGAAGAAATCAACATACCAATGACGGAAGCATAGTTGAAGAAGTCTAGGATTATAGAAATAAATTACAGAACTGGACACAACTCTCTCACATGAGATCTGTCCCACCTTTTTGTGAGTCTCACTCCTATGTATGAGAGGGATGTGTTCTATTCTATGATTGGTTTCTCTTTTCTTTGTATATAGTTTGACCATATTGGTTAGATCTAGAATGACAAGTGAATGTAATTTAGATTTTTGGGTGAAGGGAAAACTCTTCTCTCTCTCAATATATATATACAACAGACTGTTTTTGCATAAGAAGCAAGAGAGAACAAAAATATTTTCCTTCATTTTCATTGAAAACCACATGGATAAGCATCCACGTTTTGACAGGCAGGTTGTGGGATTTGCATACATGATTACAGTACCGAATACAGAATAATGAAACTTGCATTGATACCATATCAATGTTAACTAATTAATAAGACTAAAAGTGAATGCAATGACAGATTGAAGCAGTTACATTTATGTAGGAAACAGAGTTAAATAAATAAATTTTCTTTCTTTTTTTTTTTCTTTCAATTTTCATATTTATTTCAACTTAATGAAGAGAAGAAAGACCAAAGAGTCAAGTCATACCAGGCGTAACGACTAAGGAAGTGATAAGAATACTATTATCAGTTTTTCTAGGTCTAAATCAATTCAGATTCAAAATCAATATCATATATTCTTTCTGCAGCAAGACCAATTTATGACTGATGAGGTCATGTAAAGACTTTGAAGCCTTTCAGAAACTTCTACAGTACCGAATATAGAATAATGAAACTCGCATTGATACCATATCAATGTTAACTAATTAATAAGACTAAAAGTGAATGCAATGACAGATTGAAGCAGTTACATTTCTGTAGGAAACAGAGTTAAATAAATAAATTTTCTTTCTTTCTTTTTTTTCTTTCAATTTTCATATTTATTTCAACTTAATGAAGAGAAGAAAGACCAAAGAGTCAAGTCATACCAGGCGTAACGACTAAGGAAGTGATAAGAATACTATTATCAGTTTTTCTAGGTCTAAATCAATTCAGATTCAAAATCAATATCATATATTCTTTCTGCAGCAAGACCAATTTATGACTGATGAGGTCAAGTAAAGACTTTCAAGCCTTTCAGAAACTTCTTGGTCTTGGCATAACAAGTTTGTATCACAAACAGAATGTCGATTTTATGTACTTAAGGCTGCCTCTGAACCTATCATGAAATGCGAAGGTTTTAACCGATAGCAGCAGCTTCAAAATCCAATCCAATGTTCATAGCCAATCTCCGCGGAAGTCATGTCTACCGGGTAAAAAATGAATCATTCCAATCAAGATTACCTGGAAATTATAGAAAAAAGATTCTAGGGATATGTGTAAGTACACATGAATTTATAATTCACACTTGAAGCAAAGCCATATAAGAGCCTTTCTATAGGTTTTACTATTTTAGAAATTATTGATGTCTGCAAGTTTTGGTAAATTAGCCATAAATCTACTATATGAATTTCCCTAATGAATTTTTCACCTTAAACTTGCTAACTTTTTTCTTCAATCACTATACTCTAACCTAACTTTTGGACCAAGTGATGCTGGTAATAAAGTCAAGGAGAATTCTATAGTAGACATTCATTTTTAGTGTGCACCTAAGAAGTACGGATACTTCTAAAAAAGTGACGTAATCGTATCGTGTCCATGTCAGATACCGACACTCTTTAGACACTTTCCTGACACATGTCCGACACTCTTCAAAACATGTCCTGTTTTTAATTTTTTTTTAAAAACCTGGACACTTTGGACATTTAAAGGATATACGTGTTTATCGCTTAAACACACGTGTCTATCAATTAGATACAGGTGAAACTAATTATAAGTTTGAACAAAATAACATAAGATAAAATAACAAAAATTACATAAATTTATAGGAATTAGTGTCATATTCCATTTTTCATTATCTTTAAATGATATATTCATATATATAACATATAATAAATACATAGAATTATATATTTTACATGTGTCCCCCACGTGTCATGCCGTGCATTTTTTGAAAATTGGCATGTCGGTATATTCGTGTCGTATCCGTATCGTGTCGCGTGTTTATGTCCGTGCTTCTTAAGTGTGCACTCTATATCTAAATTTGATTTTAGTGCTTCTTGGTTATGAATTTAGTGTTGTTTAATTATGTTTTTATTGTGGGTTGAAGCTGCTGTTGAGCCACTTAAATGTCAAATCAAAATAGGTTATTTTGTGCTTCTTGGTCATGAATTTAGTGTCGTTTAATTATGTTTTTATTGTGGGTTGAAGCTGCTGTTGAGCCACTTAAATGTCAAATCAAAATAGGTTATACATTTAATGGCGTCTGATTATGACCTATTATAATAATGATCTTTAAGGATTGATTTGTGATGTTCTAAAAAAGTATACTTTTTGACTTATTGACTTATATGGATTGAGTTTGGATTGGGTTTTATGTGATGTGTTAGAGAGGTGATGTGATTTAAATAAGATGATGTGACTTAAATAGAATAGTGACTTTTTGACTTTTTATATTATTTAATTTATGCCAAACCAACCCTAAATCCAAATCAATGGCTTATATTTATTTTAGATTTAACTGTTCGAAATTTTTTGAGAGTGTATACAGTTGTTTTTGCCTAAGATAGCATTTGGTTTACTAGAACGAAGATAGAATGGAACGGTCTTTCCTTAGCCTTCTTATAGAATGATCTTTCCTTGTAATGGAGAATCATGATTCCATTTTGCAATGCATGACATCATTTTTTTTTAGCAAACAAATGTAAGAATCAACATTCTGGTGGGAATGATCACTTCTATTCCACCTTCATTCCTAGTGCATCAAACACTGCGTATAGAAAGATGTAATGAAACATCAAAGCATAAATACAAACACATGGATTACACACCTTGGCCTGCCAAAACCTTGAAAATAAAAAACCGCTAGATCCAGTGCTTTTGTTCATGAAGTTAATATATTGTCATGACCTAGTGTCACGGGCCGACTCCTGAAAGGCAACCCGTGACACCTGGCTTGCATGTTAAGTACATATAGGTCATGTTTGAGAACTTGCCTTTTTGGTAAAAAAAAGTCCCAAAAAAAAGTGAAAAACATCCGTTATTCACATTTTTTCATTCAATTAAAAAAAGTCAATCCCAATCGTACAACTTTTTTTTCCCTTCATAAAAAAGTCAAAAAACTAAAAAAGTCCTTAAAAAAGCCAAACTCCAAACATGGCCACAATTGGAGCAGCACATAGGTTGCACAGTATTTATGGGCTGGCTCCAAACCTGACCTAGCCTTCAGCATGTTTATGAATCTCTTCTTACACAGTTTCATTCTAGCTGTCCTAGTTACTAAAAAATGTTGATATGAATACTATAATTGGAAAGAGCAATGCTAGGGAGACTCCAAATAGATTACTAAATATTTTACCAGATACAAGGACCCACACCATATGAGTATTTGGTAGAATATTTGGTAAACCATTTGGGGTCTCTAGTATTTTTGAATTTCAAGTTAAATTTTCAACTCTAACCCTGATTTCACTTTCAAAGAGTCTAGCCAAGTTTCAAGTTCATGCTTGAAGAAATGCATATAAGTGATAAAGTAGTACTGTATTTAAATTTGTGTGTAAGTCAAAGAAATTCAGTTTCATCAGATACACCCTAGAGTGATGCAATTCATCAGCGAAAACATGTCAAGAATTCCAATTTTGTCATTTCAATCCGAAATCGTATCATCAGTTTCTATCTTTAGTTACAATCCTATCAGCATCTAAGAACCTAAATATTCTAATTCTTTTTTTTTTCTTTTTTTTTTTTCAATGATAATAAACAGAAAAGCACAAACAAACAAATCATATCAGAAAGAAGGTTTGTCTTTCTTATCTCTGAACTACGAATCCCAACTCCTTCCTTCCAATTTCCTCCAACACACAACACCTGCATTCCACATCACAATTAATGGTCAAATGTTGAAACCCATACCAGCATATCTGGTCGACAGGATGTTTAAATAATTAAATAAGTTAAAAAGAAAAATCCAGAAAGTTTCAAAACAATGAAGAGAATATACACAAACACTTGACTTATATACATACATCCATACACAAACGTATATGAGAGGGAACTGTTTATGGGCAATACAAATATCAAGCAAAATGAGACCTGAGGACAGAATATTTTACCTGGAATGCGGATCCAAGAACAAAAATGTGGTATGATAAGGGTAGTGTTGCATAGATTCCACTAGTAGAATTTAAGGGCATGATTGCTTTAAGAGACTACTAAATATAATAGCAATTACATTTTAAAAGTTAATCCAATAAAATATTGTTATAAATTAATCATATAGAAACACAATTCTAGAAGCATTATAGCCCATTTGTTTTATATTTGGTCAAGCAAAAACTCTATTCTCTCTATATTTTAGTTCATTTTTTTTTTTAAAAAAAAAAATTTCCTCCTATAGGAAAAGTTCTGGGAACGATTTGGATTGCTAAATTTTGTAAAGGACATCATAGTTTATAATATGCAGTGTTAGCATATTTCGAAAGTGCATTCCAAAACATAAATTGCTAGGGTATTAGCATTTTCAAGTAACACTGCAAATCATAGACTATGATGTCCTTCACTGGTAACCACAAAAAAATCTCTCACAGAAGAGAGGCCCTCAAGTCCAATGAGCCCACCATAGCTGACGTTAGCTCGCACCATAGTGTCGAAGAACACTATGGTCTCAAACTTGCCCATGCAGGGTTGATCCATGAGCACTTGGAGTTGGAGGTGGCCATTGTGGTCAAGCTTGTAGGCCTTCACATCCTCTGGAAAGAGCCCTGTGGACAAGCCTTCGGTTTCTGAGGAAGCCGTGAATGGAGTGACAATGGGTGAGAGGTAAGAGAGTTTTTAACTATAATTTTTTCATTTTGGATACTTTGTGATTTACCATGGGTGAAGTGAACAAAAAAAAAATAAAAAAATTTCGACTGTGCTGTGTTGGTTTTTTTTTTCTTTTGTCCCCTTGAAAAAAATAAAATTTATACCGTGTCAAAGACCTGTTTTATTATCCTAATATCTCCTCTTTCGTTCCGTTTTTTATTTACCTTCACCAACTGTCATCTATATACAAATGTTAATATAAAGAAAGAGTGACAATAAACTGAATATATAGGAGTTATATAAATGGTTTTATATCACCATTAATTATCTTTAAAGCAAGTTGAATATTGTTCTAAATCCCTTCAGTGGGTCCAACAACTAATGTTTAAAACAACATTAATAAATAAATAAATAAAAGAGAGAAATAGTAAAATCATATAGAGTTCTGTTTCCTAATTAGACTACCTATGTATATATGAATAGTATGTTGAACAACCTAATGTTTTGGCATAATTAACTATCAAAAGACTTTAGGAATATCTCATCTTCTCTCCCTCTTAGAAAGATAAAGAACTGGCAAATAAATTTCAATACTTAGAAAACTTCTTCAATGGAAACATCACATCTAAGAAGTACAGACACTTCTAAGAAAATGATGTATTCGTGTCAGACACCGACACTCTTCAGACACTTTCCCGACACGCGTCCGATACTCTTCAAAACGTGTTCTGTTTTTAAATTTTTTTTAAAGACTCAGCGTCATGACCCGAACCTGCCCCTATGAGTTAAGGTCATAACCGGCCAGTAATCAAGAAATTACCTGCGGCCTCAAATCTGATTAAACGTATTTCAATAGAAATAAAGGGCCAAAACGGAAGCAACTTAATAATTTTGACCAATAAGCTGTGCTTATATGGCATAGCAGAATTATTCCAAAAGTATTTCATAATAACTCACACATAGAGCCAGAATTAACATTTTGTACATCCAGAAACTTCAAACGTATAGTCAGCCAAACAAAAGTTTATGTACATGGATGATCCAATGTATTTGCCAAGGTAGTAAAAGAGTAAACAAAGAGTAAACAAAAGAACAAAAGAAAATAAAGTCTCGTGCGTAAGACGTTCGGGCTGACTCCACAAAATTTAACCTCCTCTCATATCTTTCACTAAGGCTGGGTTTGGACATCTCTTTGCTCACCTAGACATATATAAATGAGAGTCAGTGATAGTTCAGTGAATCATATCAAAATAAAGAAGTTATATGAATGAAATTTGTAGCAGACATATTAAATGGCCATAGGCCCATTTATGTTTTTTATCTAACGGCCTCAGGCACAAACATATCAAACGGCCTCGAGCCCAATTCATTCATGTCAAACGGCCTTTGGCCCAATTTGTTAAAATTCACCTACTCTCCACCTACTTCACCCACTTAAACCTACTCCACTAAACCTAACCCACTACACCACTATCACCTCACCTACTCCACTAAACCTAACCCACTACACCACTACCACCTCCACTTCACCTACTCCTTACCTACTACACACTCACCCTCTTCTATATATAGGAATCATGAATCATTGTAATAGATATCAATAAACATCAATCAATAATACATAAATTTTTACACAATTCATTCACATCAAACGGCCTTTGGCCCAATTCATTCACATCAAACAGCCTCGGGCCCATCCATCATGTCAAACGGCCTCGAGCCCAATCATTCATGTCAAATGGCCTTGGGCCCAATCCATTCACATCAAACGGCCTCGGGCTCATTCATCATGTCAAACGGCCTCGAGCCCAATCATTCATGTCAAACGGCCTTGGGCCCAATTCATTCACATCAAACGGCCTCAAGCCTATCCATCATGTCAAACGGCCTCAGGCCCAATTCATTTTCGCATTTGTATTTATGTGTCTCATATCCATGATCATGATCATATTTGTATTCAATTAGCCTTACGCGAAAGACTGACATTTGGAATATTCATCCATAAATCAACATACAAATCCATAAGGCTCGTACAGAAATAGCGTTTGGAAAATAACGTACTTGAACATATCTTTACTAAGATATTACTCATAGTGTTCTGCCGATGGATTTGCCCTTGCGCGACCCTACACATTACATAACATATCGGATCACATCGGGTCACAAGTGATTCAATCCATTCTTAATTTACTTACTTCTCTTAGGCCTCTTTCTTATCCATTTAGTCCATTTACAATGCTCAATACATGCCTAAGAGCGCTTAGAAATGAAAGAAAATGGAAAACGAAACACAAAACAACTTTTCAAAATTTCTGAAACAGGGTTCTCCGTTCGAGTGCAGCTTTAGTCGCTCAAGTTGACCCCTTTGGTCTGCAAAAGTACTGGTTGCATATAATTTACGATCGAGCGAGATTCTCGACGCTCAAGCGAGGAGTCTTTGCAAAATAGGGTTTGCTCGAGCGTAAAGTCTGCCGCTCGAGTCACAGTGCAATTTCTACAAAATTTCTGGGAGCTAAATTTTCACGCTCGAGCGAGACTTTCCTGGCTCGAGCGGACATGACGAATTCTGGAATTTCTAGAACTGCATTTGAAGCTCAAACTTGATGTTCAATGGTTCAAAGTTCGTGTTTTTGGCACAAAAACATGGAAAGACATCACATAACATGAGAATATAGGTAATTTGAGACCAATTGTCCAAAACCACAATCTAATTCTCAAATTATTTAACATTCTTCTTGGTACGGTCAAAGTTTATGCATTCGAACTTCATACAAACTTCATATCTTCACGAATCATTCATGCATGTCAATTATTGACTCCAACCCTACTTCAAATGGCACAAATGATGCTCAAAATCATGAAGTTCATTAAAATTATGCATGCATGTATCATTTGGTGACATATTCTTCATTTTTCAATGATCAACTTCTAATTACAACATGAATTCTTAGAATTGAGTTTCATACCATGATAATTCTTACATGCATGTGTGCATTGACTTCAAATTCATCATATACAACTTAAACCTTGTTCTTGATTACCAATTCTCTTTGGATTCATATAATTACAAACTCAAACTCATGAATTAAGGGTTGGTTACTCACCTAGAAGCCCCAATCATTCTAAAATTAGCTAATTTCTTGAGCCTAGTTTCCAAATTCCCAAGTTTTGTGCCAAAATCCACAATTTTGTGCCCTCTCTCTCTCTCTCTAGAACCGGCTCATTCTCTCTCTAGAGTGCCTATTCCAGATTTTTGAGCTCCAAGGAATGAGTATAAGTGTAATTGGGCCCTTATACATGCGTGCCTTAATCAAATTTGATTAAGGCTAAGTAATTGTGTTTGATTAATCAGTTCGATCTAATTATTTTGATCCAAATCAATTTCTAATTAAATTTCACCATAGACTCTAAAAATTACGCTTATTACAATGGTGCAGACAATTCAGTTTCTGTAATCTGTACAGTCTTTAATTTCAAATTATAGCAGTAAGTCAAACAGATTTTCCTACGGTGAACAAATAGGAATTCAAAAACATAATAATCATATAAATGACATTCAAAATCATGTTAAACACATAATCTCGATCATAATTAAGATTAATTAACATAACATAGGACAGGGTTATCACAACCAGACACTCTTTGGACACCTAGAGGACATACGTGTTTATCGCTTAAACACATGTGTCTATCAATTAGACACGGGTGAAACTAATTATAAGTTTGAACAAAACAACTTAAAATAATAATGAAACAAAAATCATATAAATTTATAGGAATTTGTGCCATATTTCATTTTTCATTATTTTTGAATGATATATTTATATATATATATAACATATAATAAATATATAGAATTATATATTTTATGCGTGTCCCCCACGTGTCGTGTCGTGTCGTGTCGTGCATTTTTTGAAAATTGGCGTATCGACGTGTCTGTATCGTATTCATGTCGTATCACGTGTCTGTGTCTGTGTCCGTATCCGTGTTCATGCTTCTTAGCATCACATCATATTAACACGATAAACATTCACCTAGAAGTATATATATAATCTCATCACATACAAGAAATATATTGTCAAAATAATGAACAATTGAAAGATAACAAATTAAACATGGTGACTATAGATTCAAGTACCTCATCCAGAGGTAGATTCTGATGAAGTTGCCTCTTGTGTTGGTCTTCTTCGCTCAGCAGGGCGACCATCTCTCTGTCTCACATACCTTTTACTCTCATATTTTGATCGGTTAGATTGCTTTGGTTGATAAGTAGGGTACTTGCAAGGAATTATCTCGCCATTGATGTACTTATCTCCTAAAGCAATAAAGGGAAACTTTGTGTTAAAAAAAATATAATAACATCACAGAAAGATGTAGATTTATTAAAAATAACATTTCTTCATAAATATATCACCTCCATAGTCCTTGTTTTTAACATCTATGTAGGAATCTGGTAGTACCCACAAAACTCCTGGCAATCCTACAAAAGATTAAGAAGTAAGCAGATTATTAGGAAACAATTCATATGCTGTGTCCTGTAATGAGACAAATGCCTAGTGTTCACTTACCTTTGAATTTCTCAGATGTCTCTTCTGATACAGTGCACTGGAATCCAGTGTACGTGGTGGTACTAAAAGCATACATACTTTTCTTTGCTTCTTCCATGCTGAGGGAAACATAACAATGCACATATTTGTGAGACATACAATATAGATGAGTGAAAATTGAGCAAATGAATGGTGTTGTTCCCATTAAGCAAACCAAAGAAGCAATGACACAAGAGAGCAATTCTCAAATATTTAGGATACGGACACGGAGGTATATGGATATATATTCATATAGATATATTATATTTTAATTTACAATGTATATATAAACATAATTTAGGATATATAGATATGAGAGGCATTAATGAACATGTAGGTATATTCATTTTTGTTCTACATTTTTCCTCTTTATTTTCATATATTTTACTTTGATGACCCAAAATCAGCTTTCTTTAAATTTTAAAAAAAAAAAACCTACAAAGGTGTCATGAGGCATGCCCAAACATTAAAAACGCACGTCTATGAAGTATCCCCAATGTGTCCTACAAAACGATAATAATTAGAACAACTGAGATGCCATGTGGCGTGGCGAACACCACACATGTCCCCCGGTGTGTCAAACACAGATGCAACACCATATTGGAGTATTAGTGCTTCTAAGCCAATTATACTTGACCAATATTACCATACCATTATAAAAAGTCTCCAAAAAAACCCTTATTTTGTGTCCTCAAGCTGAATTGTCACAGGGACAATAAACACAGACACACATGTGCATAAAAACATTGAATATGTTCCCCAAGGCCATTTTATTCGCTACATAAATCATTTTGCAGCTAAATACACTTTGAAAAGGTTGAAGCATTGAATTTTCAATGCAAAACATCTCCAACACGTAGACTTATGTAATGTATTAATACGGTCTCTTTTTCACAGACTCTATATTCATTTAACATTTTTATTTGAAGAATGATAGAAGCACGTCAATCACTAATTGCCTCCGCTTATAATTAATGGCATCACAATAAGTTAAGAACCTTACATTATTGGTTCTATTTTTCCAAAAACACTTTTCAGAAAATTCTACTTTCTTTTTTTCCGTGTTTTTTTGTTTTTACTAAACTTTTGTAATATTTTAAGCAATTTTTTTACTTTTTAGACACATCTAACATAAATACACCCAAAAAGTAAAAAAAAACCTTTTAAAAATTCACTAAATACCAAAAATACAAAAAAAAAAAAATACAAGAATTTAGAATATTTTTTGTATTTTTATGCATTTATTAATTTTTTTAAAAAAATTTAAATTTTTTTTTACTTTTTAGATACATCTAAGAAAGATAAATCTAAAAAAGTAAAAAAAAAATGTTTAAAATTTTTAAAGTAATCACTAGAAATAAAAAAACATAAAAATCAAAAAACTCAGTTTTCAAAAAACTTAATCCAGAAAACTCAAAACAAACACACTGATTATTATCTGTTACGAGAAAAGGCAAAGAGTAAAAGAAAATCACAACATTAAACATAACATTCTAAGTTTAACACATTCATTCCTTTTGCCCAATATTCTCAATAACCAAACAGAATCTAAAGACAACAAGCCCAAGTTAAAAAAAAAATTAAAAATCACAGACTGAGAAGAAATACAAAATTAGCCCAACAACAGTGAGCTAGAACATAACCACAAGATTCAACAAACAAAAATATTAAGTGGCTATCTACTCAAACAAATCAAACACAACCACGAATGAGCTGTCAAATTTTCTAGCTAATTCTTCTGAACCAAAAGAAAAGTAACCATAAGATTGTGTAAAAAAATCTTTCTTTTTCCTCAATTTTCTCAGCAATCAAACAATTTACAGAACAATAAACAATAAACCCAATTCAAAATATTTAACAAACCAAAACTTAATTCAATAAATAACAAACCCAATTCAATATATAACGAACCCAATTAAAAAAATTTAAATTCGATGTGAAATATATAATTGAATAACCACAACACTCAACATAGAGAGAGAGAGAGAGAGAGAGAGAGAGGCCTTCCGAGGACAGTGGCAAGAGTAGTGAGGTAGGTCTCAATCATTTGCTCTCTCGTAGGTGCAGGGTCTTTGGGGAACTCCATGACAATGAGCCAGTGATTGTAGTCACAGCCCGGTAACATTAGGGTTTCTCTGGGGTCGTTGCTACTGCTTCTCTTGGAAGAGTAGTCTCCATCGAGGGCAGCCCGGGTTCGAGTGCGAGACAGGGTAGGGTTCGAGTGCGGGCCAGCCCAGGAGCGAAATGGGCCAGAGTGGGTGAGGAGCAGAGTGGTGGTGGGGTTAAGGTAGGTGCTGTATTGGGTTTTTAGGGTTTTGGAGAAGAGAGAGAGATTGAGAGTGGCCATTGGAGCTGATGATTTCTGCGAAAGACACTGATGATGGAGAGATGGGGAAGATAGAAAGATTTCTCAAGGGAAAGGGTAAAGTGGTCACCACACAACAATTAAATTTTATTTATTTATTTATTTATTTTTCAAAAGGAGTTTTTAAGAAAAATCTCAGATAATATGTTGCGAAAATTACAAAAAATACCAAAAATCTCGGTTGATAACAAATTAAATTCTAACATTTTAATGGTTTTACTTTAAATCGTGAACTGTAAAATTGTATCAATTCTAACTAATATGTTTCTGCAACTAATTGAGAAATAAACAAATTATATCATTAATTTATTGTTTAAGCGAAATGTCACTTTGGTTTTTATAGTTTTAACATGAAAATTTTGAATGTTATACTTTTAATTTTATTACAATGTTATCCATCCGTCATTCATTGTTAAAATTTGAAACAAAAAAAAATCACGTACAAAATTAAAGAAATCAAAATGAAATTCAAAATAAACTAAGAATTCCAATTTAATCATTCTATTTTTGCATATATATATATATATATATTGGGGTTCGAAATGTGTATTACATTGAAAAATTGAAAGTGTAACTTCAATTAAACTAGGGGGACTAGTTATTTAATTTAAGCCTATATACTATCAAAATTTAAAAATGAAATATAAATTTCAACATCAATTTCTATTGATATAAAAAGTAAAAAATTGTATGAAAAATTATATAAATAAACATGTTTTCCTATGTAGCAATCTTTTTATTTTTATTTTATTTTTTTTTATAATCGGTTAAAATTGTTAAATTATATACTTTGAACCCATATTTCATAGATATAGAAGTATGGATCGTGCAATAGGAAAATTAGGGATATCTCCTCCAATATAAATACACATGAGACATTGTCATAACCAGCTCCCCGTACTCAAAGGTTAAGCACTGTGATGGCCTGTAACTGAAGTTACCTCCGGTCAATTCTCAAACAAACTAATAAACGCGAGTGGAAGTAATATTTAAGTGAGGGTACCAAAATAATCATCGGAGCTTCTATTTTCATTACAAAATTTATTGACCCAAAAAGTCGATATTTACATATAAAAATATCATAAAAATGTTGTGTGTGTCTATTCCGCAGCCTCACGTCTAAAAGTTTCCAAAACCTATTTCTGAATTGTATTGTTTCTTGAAATTTGGTAAATAGCTATAAGCATATGGCAAAGTGAGAAATTGTTTCCTGAAAATTGATAAATAACTTTAAGCACGTGGTAGAGTGAAAAATATTATGCCAAGAATATAAGAGACACAAAATAACCATGGATAGTTATGTAACTAAAATATTTAAGATAACTTAATCTGAACAAATAATCCTTTAAGTAGCAAAACTGAGATTATGTAAATAAATAACCATAACTACGGTACCGAACAGAACAGAACAGATGCATGGACTCAAGAGGTGGCTCGTATGAACTCTAAAGGTTGCTCCCACAATAGTGTAACACTTACCTCCGTACAACACTTTGCTTCCCATAGTCAGAACAGAGGTACGGATTCAAGAGATGGCTCGTGCGGATTATAGAGGTGGCTTCCACAATAGTGTAGCACTTATCTCCGCACAGCACTTTGCTCCTCACAGAACAGAGGTCAATGGATCCATGACAAACAGAGGCCCACAAAATGACTAAACAGAGGCCAATGGTTATTTAAGTCCCCCAAGGCGTGGGACTCCCATGGTGGTACTTACAAAATATAATTATTTATAAGGTCATAATTAAATATTCTTTAATATATAAACAAATATATCTATGCGTTTCATTTTAACAAATAGAGTTCAAAAATTAATCTACGTAACTGAAATATTAATATAATTTATAATAATTTATAAAACATAACTTGTATAAAATAAATATAGTAAGTCAAAACATACGTAAAATATTATGATAACTCAAGATATAATATAACTCACCTTAAAAGTAGTACCTTACTATTTCTTTCCACTATCAAAGACTCTTCCGACTTCCATTATTTTCTTTCCCTTTTCTTCGCTTCCTTTTCCCTCATTCCTTTCCCTTTCTCCCTCCCTCTTTTCCTTTCTTTTCACAGAACACCTCCTCTATATTTATAAGGAGGTAAGAGCATACGTGGCCCACGTATCTTCGAAAGATTTGATTCATAAATTATATAGATTTATACTTATCTTTAATAAATATTTAAGATAATTACACTTTGACTCAGTTTTCTAATATAACTATATAAATAAATTAATCCCTAATTAAATTACACTCTATCGTATACCAACAGAAAATTAATTATTTATTTTACTACTACACCCATTATTATTATTATTATTTACTCTTACTTTTATATTTATTTATTTACTATCTTTAACTTTCATTTGGCCCAATTAGTATTATAATTTCATATTTCTGTTAATTTGGCCCCAAATAATAATCTATAATTAATCCCATATTTGATAATCCGATGTCAAATTAGATTCCGTATTTATTATTATTTATTTAATAATATATTATCACATACAACCATAATACTAGTATAAAATTTAAGAGACAACTTAAATTTTCGGGTTGTTACAATCTTCTTTCTTTTTAAAAATTTCGTCCTCGAAATTTATCATGTGTGTAAACTATCCGCTGCGCATTCTGATAAATATATATTAGATGATTAATCTGATAGAAAATATTACCTCAAAAAAAAAAAAAAACTTTACCAACGACAACTCGCTGTTTAGTTGTCAAAAATTATTTTGTGCCAAAATGAGAAACAATCGGTGACTTTAAAACTTTTCAGTAGTTTTATTTTTGAAAAAAAAATAAAAAATAAAATGAGAACACAATCAAACAAGTGACTGGAAATGAAATGACAGAATCACATGCAAAAGTTGAAAGAGGTTGAGATGAACTCCTATTTCTTTTATCCGTGAACTCTCTACTGATGGAAAATAGTTTCAAAATTAGTATCTTTATAATTTGAACCCACTTTTAAAAAAAATCGAAATGAATTTTTTTTTTAATACTAAACTGAAAATTCTATGTATTTAATTATATTATGATTTTGGTGGGTGCTTGAGCCCGACACCCTATGTTTCTTTTCCTTCTTTTGCTACAACAAATATAAATTATGTCTAATATCCCTTACAAATTATGCACAAAAAAAAAATTGTATATATAAAATCATATAAATTATAATATAAATAAATCGACTAACAAAATATAATATTTAGGTACTAATTACCCGCTATCCTACTTCTTAAATGTGTGTGTGTCCTATGATCCAATGATGATTTATTTATTTTTTTTATAAACTATTGTTCTGATACCACTTGTCATGACCTGCTCCCCGTACCCAAGGGTTAAGCGTCATGATGGCCAGTAACTGAAGTTACCTCCAGCCAATTCTTAAACAAATTAATAAACGTGAGCGGAAGTAATATTTAAGTGAGTGTACTAAAATAATTATCGGAGCTTCTATTGTTATTACAAAATTTATTAACCCAAAATGTCGATATTTACATACAAAAATATCATAAAAATGTTGTGTGTGTCTATTCTAGAGCCCCGCGTCTAAGACTTTCCAAAAGCTATTTCTGAATTGTATTGTGTCCTGAAAATTGGTAAACAGCTATAAGCACATGGCAGAGTGAGAAATATTATGCTAAGAGTATAAAAGACACAAAATAACCATGGATAATTATGTAACTAAAATATTTAAGATAATTTAGTATGAACAAATAATCCTTTGAGTAGTAAAACTGAGATTATGTAAATAAATAACCATAACCACGGTACCGAACAGAACAGAACAGATGCATAGACTCAAGAGGTGGCTCGTACGAACTTTAGAGGTGACTTCCACAACAGTGTAGCACTTAATTCCGTACAACACTTTGCTCCCTACAGTTAGAACAGAGGTACGGATTCAAGAGGTGACTCGTACGGATTATAAAGGTGGCTCCCACAATAGTATAGCACTTATCTCCGCACAACACTTTGCTCCGCATAGAAAAGAGGTCAATGGATCCATCAATAGATCTATGACAGACAGAGGCCCACAAAATGACCAAACAGAGGCCAATGGTTATTTAAGTCCCACAAGGCGTGAGACTCCCGTGGTGATACTTACAAAACATAATTGTTTATAAGGTCATAATCAAATATTCTTTAAAATATAAACAAATATATCAATGAGTTTCATTTTAACAAATAGAGTTCAGAAATTAATCCATGTAACTGAAATATTAACATAACTTATAATAATTTATAAAACATAACTTGTATAAAATAATTATGGTAAGTCAACACATACGTAAAATATATTATGGTAACTCAAGGTATAATATAACTCACCTTAAAAATAGTACCTTACTCTTTCTTTCCACTACCAAAAACTCTTCCGACTTCCATTATTTTCTTTCCTTTTTCTTCGCTTCATTTTCCCTCATTCCTTTCCCTTTCTCCCTCTCTTTTCGTTTCTTTCTTTCCCTTTCTTTTCCACATAACACATCCTCCCTATTTATAAGGAAGTAAGAGCATATGTGGCCCGTATATCTTCGAAAGATTTAATTCATAAATTATATAGATTTATATTTATTTTTAATAAATATTTAAGATAATTACACTTTAACCCAGTTTTCTAATATAATTATATAAATAAATTAATTCCTAATTAAATTACACTCTATCGTATACTAACAGAAAATTAATTATTTATTTTACTACCACACCCATTATTATTATTATTATTATTATTATTATTATTATTATTATTATTTACTCTTACTTTTATATTTATTTATTTACTATCTTTAACTTTAATTTGGCCCAATTAGTATTATAATTCCATATTTCTGTTAAATTGGCCCCAAATAATAATCCCTAATTAATCCCATATTTGATAATCCAATGTCAAATTAGATTCTGTATTTATTATTATTTATTTAATAATATATTATCACATACAACCATAATACTAGTATATAATTTATGGGACAACTTAATTTTTTGGGTTATTACAGATATAGTCTACGCAAAAAGATTATTAAAGCTGAGGTCATTCACTTTATAAATTTTC